CACATAAAGTTACTGAGATGTCCAAACTTAAGTTGAGAATTTTTTTTCCTACAACCCAAACAAGTCTCCAGTCCTGATTTTCTGAAATATTCAAAAGAATTACACAGTACTTTCCCACGATAGTGTCAGGAGTAATATTTGGTACAATTCAAACATTTTCACCTGGGAAGACTTCTTATTTTTACACTATTATTTTCCCCTCATCAGATTTGATAATTCAAGAAAGGTCACTTTGGGACAAAGGGTCACAGAAAACTGTTCCGGCATCTTGGCCTTCCAACCTCACAGGTTGAGGAAACACGCTGAAGTTAATGTGAGCCCGCCCAAGTTGAAGCTCTGACTCAAACGTTGCCAGCTGCAATGAAAGTCTCCTTCATCTAAACTTCTGCACCTTCCAGTACAACAGAAGTCTAACTCTTTTGGAGATAAGACAAGGAAAAACACCTAGCAGTAACTTTTCCATGAGCCTGATTTTCCCTGGGGAGAAAGACAAGGTGACCCTCTTTCTCAAATTTGGAGATAAGTTGCCATTGGCTTAAAAGGAAGAGAGTTTGCGTGTAGCTGGAAAAATCGACACAATATGGTAGAAATGCAATGCAGGGTACCAATTGTTAAAAAGGGCTCTCTCTCTCACTCTCTCAGAGACTGTGTTGCTAGGTGGTTAATAAATAAAAACAAACAAGATTCGCTGCAGAGGAACCGAGTCTGAACATGACCTTCTTGGACAGGGAAATCAATAAAATGCCAGTTAGTGAGGTAAGAAGAATGAGATTAAACATGCAAAGTTTACTTGTATTTTTTTTAAGAAGTAATTACACAATGAGAAGTCATTGTGAGCCCAGTGAGAAGTCGCTGGTGTAGAAAATGGGAGACCAGGAAGATGAGAGGAAGTTTGCTTTAAAGGTGGAGTTGGAAGAGTTGAAACTGTGACACAACCATCCACGTATTTGTTCCTCTGCAGTTTGTTCTGCGGAATGACCCTAAGGCCTTGGTACATAAATCAGTTATTTGTAGAAAAACCAAACTCTGCTGATCGAACCAGACTTCTCACAGCTTTCCTACGAGAGGCCAGGAAAACAAGTTGTGACTATGATCACTCGGTAATTCTCACATGAGTGTGCAAAGATGTTGTCTCAGACAGCTCCCCACTGGCTGCAAAGGAGAAGCCAATTCCCTAGGCAGCCTGGTATTCAAGACTTCTATCCATCACACCCCAATCACCTCTCCCAAGATAACTCCCGCTACTTCCTGATGCAAACTAATTGCTTCATCCATCCAAGCTAGTGGGTTCAATCTCCAACACCTACTGCACCTGCCCATCTGAAACACTATCCTTGCATGTCTCCATCTTTCCCAATCTGCTTGATCCTTGAGAAATTTCTCAAGCCCCACCTCCTTCCTGAGACTTCCTTGCTCACTCTAGCCTAAAGGAAACTTTTCATCCCAGTGTGTATTCTCTATGCTCTGAGTGATAGCCAGCCCTGTGGGGATCATTTTATGGTAATGTGTTTTATCAGTCCAATCTGAGTATATATTCCTTAAGGAAAGGGAATAAGAAATATTCATTCATGTTTTTTTTTCTCCCTCGGGCTTAACATGTAATCAGTGCTCAATAAACGTTTGCTGATGGCTTTATATATAGATTGAACAAAAAAAGACACTGTATTAGGGAGATGGCAGCTGCTAAAACAAATGCAAAGCAATGGCTGACCACCTCAGTTTCAACAGAAGGCCCTTTCACACATGTGTGCCGGGAGCCAGGCTGACATGGCTCTGCCACCCTCAACAAGTGGCTTCCATGGTCATTTTAAAGACTTCCCTCCCAGCCAATCAGAAGAGGGAAGAATGAGTTCCTGCGCCAGAGACTTTCCTTTGGGATAAGTGGGAAGGTACACACATTCGTCTTGAGCACATTTTCTTATCTGAGGCCTAGCTGCAAGGGAGCCTGGGAACCAAAGTTCAGAGTTAGGCAAACACATCCCAGCTGTGACTCTGTTACTGAGAAAAAAGGGAAAAAGTGGTTTCAAGCAATCTGGAAGCCTCTTATAATCTAGGGATGAATCTCAGCTCTCCCTGCCCAGATCTCACTTCAGAGTGGCCATGAACCACATTTTAAGGAGATGAAACCAATAAAATTAGTAGTCCCTCTCTCCATCCCTTGGAAGAGAAAGAAACCCCTATCCCTAACCTTTCCTCATTAGCCCAAGTGACAGATGATTCCTGCCACCAATTCACATTCCGTGATTTGGAACAAGTGAGGACCACAGCTGCTGCTGCGTATCAGAGATAATGGAAAGTCCTGTGCCTTTTGCTTTCCTGAATTATTATGTCACCAGAGCCACACTGGTGCACTAACATCTGTACTAGACATGTCCAGACCAATGGTCCCAGATCAGTCACCCGTATTCAAAGGCAACTGATCTTTTACTCAACTTTGATTCACTTGTAAAACACTTACAGATTGTGCACTATAAAGGTACTACGTGGATACTGAGATTTTTTAAATGCCACAATTCTTGCCCTAAACTTTAGAAGGCCATGAAGTAGACAAATATGAGCATCTAACTCTACTGCAAAACACACCTGGGCAAGTCTAACTGAAGGCAGAGTGCTGTGAGCCTATGGCCAGAAGAGGAATCAATTCTAAATAGCAGGTCAGGGAAGACTTCCAAACATATTTAGATAAAAATGCTTCCTGGTAAAGGTGGCATTTGAACAGGATTTCAGAGGATGAGCAGAATTTTAACAAATGGCAAAGAAAGAAATCCAAGGTGCAGAAGTGCAGGCATGGATCAGACAGCACAGGATGTGTGGTGGGATGGATGCAGACACAGACTTGAGCATGAAGCAGATGCAGCAGGAAGGACTTTGAATGTGAGGAAAGTTCTCAACTGTTATAAATAGTGAGGACTGGGCTGGGGATGTGGCTCAAGCGGTAGTGCGCTCGCCTGGCATGTGTGCAGCCGGGTTCGATCCTCAGCACCACATACAAACAAAGATGTTGTGTCTGCCGAAAACTAAAAAATAAATATTAAAAAAAAAATTCTCTCACTCTCTCTTAAAAAAAAAATAGTGAGGACTGGGGTTACCTGAAGACTGCAGGGGCTCAATCAATTCCTATAGAAGGAAAACAATTCTTCCAATGGTAGGAAGCTAAAAGGGGAGGCAGAGCCCGGCACGGTGGCCCATGCCTGTAATCCCAGCAGCTTGGGAGGCTGAGACAGGAGGATGGAGATTTCAAAGTCAGCCTCAGTAATGGTGAAGTGCTGAGCAACTCAGTGAGACCCTGCTCTCAATAAAATACAAAAATAGGACTGGGCAATCCTAAAAAATCAAAGGCCAAATGTTTTCTCTGATAAGTGGATGCTAATCCATAAGAAGGGGAAGGCAAGGGATGAGTGGAGGAACTTTGGATGGAGCAAAGGGGAAGAGGGAAGGGGGCATGGGGGTAGGAAAGATGGTGGAATGAGAAGGACATCATTACCATAGGTGCATGTATGATTGCACGAATGGTGTGACCCTACTTTGGGTACAACTAGAGAAGTCAAAAATTATGCTCTATTTGTGTACAACAAATCAAAAAGCATTCTGCTGTCATGTATAACTAATTAGAACAAATAAATAATTTTTAAAAATATAGGGCTAGGGATATGGTTCAGTGGTTAAGTTCAATCCCCAGTACCAAAAAAAAAAAAAAAAAAAAGGTGGAAGAGGCAGGATGATCAGTTACCAGGTACTAACAACAATTACCAGGTACTAACAACAATTACCATGTACTAACTAGTCAAGCACCATAAGTCCTTTACTTGCTTGTTCTTATTTAGGAAGAAAGTCTTATTACCACCCCCACCTTACAGATGGGTAATGACAGACGTCATATACTAAGGCCAAAGGTAGGAGTTGACCCTAACTTGTTCTAACAGAGACAAGTGCTTTGTCAGGGTACCACTGCTGTGTAATCCTTTGACATAGCAGTAGTTCATTAGAGAGAGACAGAGGCACTGAATAAATGTACCAGTTGGGGATCAAAACAAGACTTGAAGGACAATGACTTGAAGGAGTTTGAAATTAGAGGAGGGAAAAAGAATAATAAACTATGCTTAGATCCACTGAGTTTGGAGTGACTGGAAAAGAAAACTACAGGAACTGCAAACCATCCATGGGAGACCTGGGGTCCAGGGCTTAAGGAGAAATATACACAGTGGCAAGTACGGTGATCCCATTTGCTGGTGCCATACCTTTCAGTTAAGCACAAGGAAACAGCAGCATGTAAACTACCAAGGCAGGAAAGCAAGAAGCTGCCTGTACTAGCTCCAATCAACCGATTTAGAAGAAAAATTCAACTTGATTGACTGGCCTGACAGCAATAAATCCTTTTGGCCAAATAGCATTTGGTTCTACTTTAAAGGTATGCTCTGTATTATCACTTTGCCTACCAAAAATATCCATATATCTTGGGAAAGTATCAGAAATTATGTTTTTCCTTTCGTGGAATGGAATGTAAAATACCCACCAAATCCTCCTGGATGGCGCCTGGGTGAATGTTCTCCTTGTTATTTTATGTAAGCTGCTAAATATCTAGTACAGTAAAATTATGGGCTCTTTGCACATAGAGTTTCCACTTGGAGCTTCCTGAGCACCAAAGCAATAAATGTGATGCAGAACCTTCTGTTTTACGAGGCAGGTCCACTCCAGGCTAACATTTTCCCAGCCAGTGGTCACTGGTCCCTAAAAGAAACTTCTTTCTATGCACCAAACCAGGAGGACTCAATAGAAACAGAAAGGCAGCCCCAATTTTGGATAGACAAAATGACAAACCAAAGTCATCTGCAAATGGTAGACTTTTCTTTATAAAACCTCCAAGACTCTGGCAATTAAAACTATTTAAGGCTGTCACTCCATGACCTTCGCTCTGACCCAGGGACTGCTTTCTCCTGCAATGACCCACCCACTTTACAAAGTTAGAATGACTCCTTTCTCTTCAAACCCTTTCCACTTACCTCCAGTATGTATTTCAAGTTTTTCAGGTAAGCCACCTGGGTCCTCTGCTAAGTGATGAATGGAAGTGGAGGGTGGGGGCAGAGCTCAAATGCTTTAAAAATAAAAGACACACACACACACACCAAAAAACAACTGTTCCTTTATTCATCTATACTAACATTCTCACCACGTATAACGAACAAATACAAGTAAGACGTTAAGGTCAACAGCTTTATCAAAGCGCAGAGCTGTCAGGTTATAGGGGGAGGATATTTGCCAAATCAGAATGCATGAACTCTTAGTATAGAAACTAGAACATGAATTAAGCTCATATCACTCAAAAAGAGCTGAATGCATCTGAAACCAAAGTACACTGTCAGCCACCTCCTCTCGCTCCAGGCGCTGATGCCTTGATTAGCTATGCAAGAAGCTACCTGCTATTTTAGAATTATATGAAGTCACCTCAGGGTATCTACAAGCTTCTCACGCACAAGATACTGAATTTTTTTTTCCTCCTTCTTCTTGGCTTAGAGAGCAGTTGTTGCTACATCCAGGTAAGTCCTATATCATGAATTGTTATTGCATAAGATGTCATTAAAGCAGCTAACCTGCTTGCTGAAGAATCATTCTGCAAACAATAATGGTTTGTTGTCAAACCCCCCAAAGACTATAAGATACCATGCTTTTTTTTTTTTCTGAGTAGTATTTCCCTAAAAGATTAGGGAGCTGAAAGCTTAAATTTATAAAAAGGAATTTTTTTAATAGAAGTTTTTCTCGACCCCATTTTTGTAAAAATAAATTACCTTCTTTCCTAAAAATAGTAACTAAATTTATAAGAACAAAAGAATAGCTCACATGATAGGTATCTCCCAATGACGCTGCCAGTGTACACAATATTATAGGCGCTGTGCGGTTCAACATGTTTCTACCTGAAGTACATAGATTCTGTTTTGATACTAAACTGCTTAAAAACATTTTTAGATGAAAATGTGATCATGAACGTGAGGGACTGACAGCTCAGCCTTCCAAAGCCAAGGTTAACAAGGGCTCTTGTATACTTTCCCAAATAAATACATTAACTTGGCTAACCTTTGACCTCTGCCGTCCTTGATCTTCTCCTGAAAAGGGTGGAACAATTCTTGGCAAATTGAGCTGTGCCAAAAGGAGGGCTGAACACTCACTGTGGTTTAGACCGAAACCGCCTTAAATCACCCACCTTTCATCTTCCAGATTTCCAGAATGTAACTATTCAAACTGTTCTTAGACTTCTCAGGCTTAGCCTTCCCCTCACAAATCTTAATTATAAAAGAGAAAAGTACCAGATTTTTGCTTCTGCATTTAGCTCGGAGGCATTTCCCAGTCCTCGTATCTGGTCCCAACCATTAAAAAGGACTTTTCAGAAGCTGAATCTCCGCCTGACCTCAACAAAGACTGTCATCTCTCCCAGCTGGCCCCCAGCTAGCCTCTTTTCAATGCTAGCAGCATAGACGCTTCTAAATCCAATCTTCCCAGAGGACTTCACAATTTCTTTTACTTCATTTGCAATTATTAAGCATGCAATTTATATTTCCAGGTGCAAAAATTTCTCATGCAAATCTCTGACCTGAAGCAACCAAATGCACCTTAGAAACAAGTCTACTGCTTACTCAACAGATCCACCATAAAAACCACCACTACTCAAATCACCAAGGCTGACTGGACATAGGAGAATCCCAGGCAAATCTCTCAGGGCCTATCATGGATGGATTGAATGGCCATGTCACAGGATTCACTTCTGTCTTTGGGGCTTATACATATAAAGAAGGTGGCTAAAATCCTGAGTTCCTAAGTAACCTGGTTAGTTACTGGTTCTGACTTTAGGCCATTCTGATCAAATAAATTGTAAAAAAAAAAAAAAGAATATGAAATACTTTTGCTACATATATTTTAGCACATATATTTCATATATTTAGCCAGATACTCTGAAGCCCTAATCTGAAATCAAATTTTTGCCTGTCTTCATTAGTGAAAGTTTGTGTGGGGGGGGAGGGGAATATTTTGGAACTGGAAACTCTTCTGTGAAGTTACTAAGTTCCTGGGTGAGGCCAATGGTCCAGGAAAGGAAGCTAAGTAGCCCAGTAAGATTACCCAGTTATAGCCCTTAGACTTTCCTTCCCAGCTAGACAGCTTAGTTCCCAATAGTGCACAGAAAAAATATAAGGGCACTTTTCTAGTGCAAGTGTTGAGACAGAGAAGCCTCCAGGAGTCAGTTTGTACTTCCTTGGTTTTTATGACCTCAACTTCAGGGAACAATAAGTAAGTGTGCTTAAAAGGCTCCCTTGCCCCTGGAATCAAAGAAAACACTTTGCCATTGGCTAGTTGCTTATTTATTCATTCAACAAATATTTATTTGCAATATACTACATTCTTGGGTATATACATCATTATAAAAGAAACACACTAAAACAGGAAACCCTAGCTATATAAGTGATTGTTTCCTCTTTCTTCTCTCTGAGTAAATACATTCTAAGCACAAAAAAACTACCTGACAAACAATCACTTGAAGATTGTCTAATGCCAAATTATAACACAAATGGTTCTGGGAGGATCCAAAACATTAATTCCTTTCTGAGGCTACCTTCCAATGGACACTGAATTCAGGTTAGGATACCCTCCTGCACCTGAGAAAGGAAACTCATTACACTGCTGAACATTTTCCTTATAGCACTTCTGGATACAGCGTATTATAAAAAAGTATAATATAATAAATGTTTTTTTCTCTTCAGTCTTCAAGAGTAATTGGAGCCTAGAAATTGTTTTCTTTTTGCAATGTACATAGGGACACAAAAGATTTGATCAGTTTTATTACTGGCATTTTATTACAAAATCAACAGGTAATAATTACCTAGGTGATTCATGATGAGGTGTAGGGCCATTTGGGAGCTATCTAAAAAGGAAGAAAAGTTCATTAAAGTTCAGTTGTAGAGAACACAGATCTGAAAGCTTAGGTTTTTAGAAATCGCTCAGTTTCATGAAGAATACGTTGCCCTAAAATGATTCTCCCCGAGACTGTGAAATGAGACTGTTAGTCATGGGCAGAGAGCAGATGAGTTATAAGATGGGAATCCCGCCATTCTTTGTTTACTACAGACCAGCAGGGGTTGAGTTTCAGGGTTTATTATTTCTGAAGAGGTGCTCTCCTATCCACGTGAACGGGAACTTCTCAAATTGGAGACTGCCTCAGAATGAGGACCCCAGAAGGTCACTGAGCAGTAAGCCTCAGGCGTCTGGGTGGAGCCTTGACCTCCCCCGCAGCAGCCTCTCCTGTGAGCTGTCACCTAGCTCAAACCGAGGGGGCGGGGCCTGAGGCTGAAAGGAGAGAGAGCAGGTCGGTTGTCAGGTAAACACATGCTACAAGTCCTTTCGAAAATGGATCGAGTATCTTTAATCCTGTATTCTGGCCTCCAGATGATTTATGGCTCTTATTTTCTTTTCTCTCTTTCCTTGTAAGGCTTGCCAAAGTAGACTTCAACTCTGCCTCGAAGCATGCAAACACAGAGTTCTATCTTCCCTGATGAGTCGGATTTGTGCCAAGTGAAAGCTTTAATGACAAAATTATGCTCCAAGGAAGGGAGAAGGTGACGGTCCAGAAGGCCAGCAGAAACACCACTGTATCCTCTCAAGTGTTCGAGTTTACAAAATTAACACCTAGATCATGATCCTCCCTCCACACCTTATTTCTGATCCCCAACCCTGCCCCCACTCTGCCCAGCTATGATCAAAACTGGCTGCGACTGGCTTGGTTACTTGATTTGTTTTGGAGATGCCATCAGAAGTTATATCCCACCGCCCTTTGGTTCTGCTTTGTTTTATTTCCTGTTTATTGTTAGATTGTGTTTTGTTTGGGTTTTATTTTCATTTTGTTATAAATAGATAATTAATAATTATATCTATTTACAGGATACAAAATGATGTTCCGATTTATGAATCCAACATGGGATAATCAGATCAATCCAATTTACATATCCATCACTACCAATACTAACCAGTTGTTTTTGTGATGAGAGCATTTGAAATCCATTCTGGGTAACTTTGAAATATACAATACACTATTTGTAACTACATTGATCATGCTGTGCAGTAGATCTATAATAATAATAATAATAATATATTTCTTCTGCTTGAGATTTTTGTACCCTGTGAGCAACATCTTCCCTTTTTGCCCAAAACAGCCACTGTAATCTCCACTCTTTCTGCTTCTGTTTGGTTATTTAGCTTCCACATATAAGTGAGAGCAGGCAGTGTTTGTTTTTCTGTCCCTGACTTGTTTTACTTAACATATGTCCTCTAAGTTCATCCATATTGTCCCAAATGACAGGATTTTCGATTTTGCTTTATTTTAACTGACAAGGAATTGTCCTGTCTGCATTCTCTAGGCCTTCCCCTCCCTCGACCATAAATGGGTCAACCTTCTACCCTGAAGTAGATCACGTGTGTCTCTGGCTCCCAGTCACCTTCATTTCCGAGTTGCTCTCCATCTCCACCCACCACCAGCCTTCCAGCATGTCATACCACCCAGGCTTTCTCCTGTTACAGACATGGATGTCTCAGTCACAGGAGACCTTCCTTTTGCCCTTCTTCTTGGGCTGACAATTACAAGAGAAGACTTCCAGATTTCTCCTTCCATCCCAGATCTTTACCCCGAGTTGGCAGAGCTGTGTGCTGGACAGTTTGCTAGGCATCCTCACAGGAATGTCCAACGCACAGCTTCCCTATAGCAAGTCCCTTCTGTATTGAGGAGTGATGTGTCTCCCTCAATAAGGCACAACGCCATCACCTCAGAGCTGAGCTACACCTTTCTCTTTCACTGCCAAAATAATTTTCAATTCCGGTCTATTCTACCTCTTATTCAACCCGTTCACAAGCATTTATGGAGTACCTACTCTGTGCCAGGAATGTTTTGGGGCTCTTGGAATGTATCAGCAAGGAATGAGAAAAGACCCCTGCCATTGGAGTTTTAGAAGACCATTCATAATGAGAGTGAGGATGGCAATGATGATGAACAAATATTGTAAACAATGTCCTAGAAAATGAGAAATGCAATGGAAATAAAATTTAAATAGAACAGAAGTAAGAGGATTGGGAATGCCAGTGAGAATGAGCAGTGGTTGGTGAAATTTTAAACAAAGAGATAAGAAGTACACCTCATGGAGACGTGATATTCAAGGGCAAGGGCATCAGCACAATGGTGTCTGGGGAAGACTGTTCCTGGTGGAGGGAAGGCCTGTGCACAGGATCTGCAGTGGAGATGTTACTGATTTATTCAGGG